AATACATCTGTATAGGGTCCTTACCTGATGACGCCTGCAGGCCTGGAAGTTGCCCTGCATGAGGCAGGGAGTGGTGAGTGAATGCAAAGGCTTAGGACATTACTGGACACTACTGTAGACTTTATAAACACTACACTTAGGGTATACTAAATTTATTTATAAAATAAAGTAAACGTGCAATGATGTTATGTTGGCTACAGCATCACTAAGTGATAAGAATTTTTCAGCTCTATGATAATCTTATGTGACCATTGTTCTATATGGAGTTGGTCATTGATGGAAGCATTATTAGTCAGCGTTTGACTGTATTTGATCTTTGTCCCTGGTAGCACAGCTCATAAAACTTGCAATATCTGAGTAATGGAGTAAGAGGAGCGTCTTCTGTTATTCAGCATAAGCCACTTTGAACTCTACCTGAGTTTATGCTAATGAGGCGGGGGCTGGTTGTCAGAGGAACCCACCATATATTAGAGGGTTGCAACGTTCCCTCCCACCCTGGAAAAGGGAGAGAGGCTGGGGATTGAGTTCATTCACTGATAGCCAGTGATTTCATCAATGCTGCCCACATAATGGAATATAATAATAATGTAGATGGCATAGCACATGATAAAACCCTACAAAAGCCCTCCTCAAGGGGGTTCAGAGAACTTCCAAGTTGCTGAACACGTTGAGGTGCTGGGAGGGTGTGCACCTGGATCAAGCGTGGAAAAATCCGTGCCCCTTCCCATACCCTGCCCCACGTGTCTCTTCCACGTGGCTGTTCCTGAGTTGTATTCTTTTATGACAAACCAGTCATTTAGTAAGTGAACTGTTTGTCCCAAGTTCTGTGTATGAGCCATTCTAGCAAATGACATAGTGTCAGGATTGAGTTACATTGTAGGACACCCAGCCAGTGTCTGCCAAGAATAGAAAATTGCTTGGTATGGAAAAGCCCACACGTCTGGTGTCAGAAGCGTAGGGTGTAGCGGGACCAGGGGTTTTATTTTACTGTTCAAGTGGATCTTTTGCCCCTCCCTTTGGAAACACAAGAGCCTCATTCCTCCCCTTCCGGTCAACTGAACTACCCTCAAAGTGCTCCCCAAGGAATGCCTCAGGCATGGCAAGCCTCAGCAAAACCAGCAGAGGGGCTCAAGTTATCTGGGTGGACTGTCTACACTGTCAATACCCAGCTTTATTCTCATAGTGTAGACCTGAATCAAGAACACAAGAAAGCGGGGCGTATTGGAGGGAAAGGCCCCATAAGCTGTGTATTTTGGCGTCCTAATTCTCAAAGGCTAAATTCTAGGGTTCCTGTCACCTGTGGTCCTGCTCATTCCAGATGTTCAGAATGTTCCTCTTGTTAGTGTCTGAGGATCTTAGAAGAGGGGGTAGAATTTGGAGTCAAGCCCTACAGAAACCCAGCAGAATCT